TATATATATGACGGAATAATTTTGTTAAAAAACGTACTACTTAATATAATCAAGTATCAACACAATTCTTAAAAATTTCTAACCACCGTACACGACAATCATGGACATTGAGCAAAAAATAAAAACGAATAACGCATTCATACCCGCTTAACAACGTCCAACAATTAACAAACGCTCAAAAATCGATCATATTTCCACGACGGTGCAGAATCTCAAATCACGTATTAAAGGAAATAAATGTCGTTTAATAATAAAACAGGGGTATTAAAGGGAAATTATATAATATATTTTGCCAAGTTGGCAAAATTGGGTGTATCTCAAAAAGGGGAAAAAAAATTGGATCTACCTCATTGGAAAATATGAATAAGGGGGTTTTCCCTAATAAACCCTTTTATTTAAGATGTTATAATGAGTAAAAATAGAAAATAAGCTTCTTATCCAAACACTCTACAACACTCTACAAATTAATCCTAAAAATAAGATGTAACAGCTTATCAGCTCTTAAAACATCTTATGAGACGTAGGATCTTATCAGCTGTTTAAAATAAGCTTAGCCAAACACCCTCTTAATCTCAATAGATATTATTCCCAAAGTCTCCCACAAAAATAAAGAAAATAAGAAAAAGTTAAAACTTTTTTTATTTTCGTTGTTGACATCTTTATTTTTGTTAATATTTAATTTGTTTCTTTAAGAAATAGAACATAATAAAAAAAACATTTACTTTTTTATTTTCTTAAATGAGGATATTTATCAAGATTTAAGATAATGCAAAGAAAAATAATTATAATTAAAAAAATTATACATATTAAGCTGTAATTAATCATATTATAATGTGAAATAATTTGTAAGTTAATAAGAAAATTAATTTTATAGAACCCTCCTTAAATAAGAGCAACTCCAACAAAAAAAAAATATCAAAATAAGTTAGCATATATTTATTTGGTATTTAATATTTTATTTTGATATTCACCTGAATGCATTTGCTCCAACCATATTAAATTGATATTTAAAAATAATTAAATTGATTTACATATCTAATTGCCAAATGTTATTTTGTAAATAGACATTGAGGTGGTTTTATATGAACCCACATTTGATATTTTTCTAGAGCATGTATATTTACATCCCAAAAGCGAAATATCCAAATACACCCTTCATTTGATAACTAAATTGGAGTTAAACAATTTTGCTTTTAAGTAAGAAAAAATGGTGATTACTGATTCTGATACCCTATTCAATAATTCCATTGCATTTACTCCAAGTCTCTGAAATAAAATTGGATCTCGAGATCCATTTTGGTTACTCCATTGAACTTGCCCTAAGTGCGTGCATTCTTAATTGAGTTTTCTAATATAAATATCTTTTTTCTTGCAAATACAATACTTCAAAAAAGTATACATGGAACATGAGAAATTATCTAAAATAGACAAATATTTATTTATGCACATATGATATAAAATAATACAGGTTTTAATTTCTAATCTCATCACATTCGTCATTAGTCATCCTCCATTATCAAATTAATTAAAAAAGGTAAACGCTAAACACTTTTGTTAAAAGAAACACCCCATCACCAACTAACATAAAAATTGATTGATTGACCAAACGAAAATTGATAATTACTTGGAATATAGTGATTAATTTGGTAAAACCAACGATCCTAATTACCAAAAGGCCCTCTAGCCTCAACTTTCAATGATGCGATGTCGTATCGGAGGGGAACACACGCACCTCATCTACAAGCTTTGGATTTCACCCGACCCGCCAAATATATTTCGGGAAGCCCGCGACCCGCCTCCCCAACCCGATGAGATATGGGAACACCCAATTTGTCCCTTTTGACCACTCATCTACCAAAAATGATTGACCCCATGCACGTTGGTGCACATTGACTGGGAGGGGTATTTTAGTAAAATCCAGTTGTTTATACTAAGCTTTCATCGCGGGGAAACCAACATACCGCGGGAGAAAACGATTGGTCGTTTGAGAATTTCTGAGAGGGAGGGTCACGTGGGCTGTTTGTTCAGTCACGCGCTACGACGCAGATGTTGTCGCACGCATTTCTATGGACCGCACCTTCATGTAGTTTGACCACATCACCCTCTCTTCTCAATTCTCATCCTTTTTTATTAGTCATAAATATATGTGTAACTCCATTTTAGTGGATTTATTATATTTTATACAATATATATTTATTTATTAAATGATAAATATTAAGTTAAATAGAATACAACTACTATAAGTTTTTTTTGTTAAGAATAATTAAAGTAGTAAAAAATCCTTACATTATTATTGTTTAGTTCCCGTAATAAGATTAGAGCAACTCCAATTGATAAACTAAATGGGTATCAAACAAAAAAACTACTACTTTAATGCTCCAAAATTAAAAAATCCTCCTCCAATGGAGACATTAAAGTGAGAACTATTTTGATATTCAACTACCCCGAGGTGTAAAAATACTCCCTGGAAAATGAGGTATAAAAAATGTAATCACTCCATTAACCTATCACTGTTTGACACGTGACATTTAATAATATAATTATTCATATATTTAAAATTTGATAATCTATTTGATACTTGTGGTTGAAGTGAATTTTTTTTCTAGAAGTATCAAAGTATTATATCAAGTATCAAATGAATGTTTAATGCTCCATTTTGATATCTCTCCATTGGAGTTGCTCTTACACAATCTTACAAGAACTCAATTGTATAATTACACCGGGGCGGTTCTTGCTTTAGACTAGGGTGAACTCGATAAATTAATAACTTCGCTTAAATAAATTTTTTTTCCTGATTCGGTAAAAAACGCGTTAAATTATTATTTCGATAATTAATATTTCGCTAAATTCACATTTTGTAATTAGTCCCCACTATATTCATTTAAAGAGATTTAATTGTATTTATATTAATAAGATATTTAGTACATTGTATATTTAATTTTTACTGCGGCCCATAAAATAGTTCATACAAAATTAATTTTAATACAAAATACACTAGTTCTTTTCTCGATTATTTCTTGAATATAAGTTCTTAATTTTATCTGTATTAGAAAATATGGTCTTGAAATACTTTATTTAGCAAGTCTTTGGTGAACCATTAACTTATTGATGACTAACTATTTAACATTAGAGTTATATTTTCATTTTTGTTGATATAAAATATACTTTTTTTATACGAGTACCATGCAAAAAGGAAGTTCTTGTTAATAAAAAAAAAAAAAAAAAAATCTATTTAGATATTTTGGATTAACATTTTATTCTCCTCCAACAAATATTTTGAGGCCACTGCCACAAACCCCCGTTATTCGTAGCCCACCCTCATCTATAATCCTGGCCTCGCCACTGAATATTATAGCTAGCAATACACAATCTCCCATAAATCATATATATTCGAGGGTCGGCCCACGAAAAAATTGCAGTAAACAAATATCAAATAAGAAGTAATAATTTAATTGATCATTGCAACAAAAGGCGAAATCCCTCGTCCCCAGGGCCCCCATCCCTTGGCCTGACCAGGATTGATGGAGGAATGTAAATCATGGTAACTCAACGGCCCGTTAAGGTAGCGGACCTGGACCTGGTGCCCACAAGGAACCAACCCTCATTGGAGTTGAAATTCCCACACTGGGGCTGCCAGGATTCGATCCTAGGACCTTGCACCAACTTACCACCTCCGGAACCAGTTGAGCTACACCCATGCGGGCATAATTTAATTGATCATGAGTTACGTTTTCAACCATATGAGACCTTAGTACTAGTATTTATCTGTTATAGGGAGGCAAATAATTATATATTAAGAAAAAACTATAAATTGAAAAGAAACAAAAATCATCTGCCACAAATTAGTCATGGTCAAATTCATAATATTCATTTGATATGATCATCATGAGTTGTTCTGTTTGCGTTTAAATTACATAAATTCGCAATTGCTATAACTGTTGTTCATTTGTCTCTTGCTTTTGCTTTCATACAAACAATAAATATTCTTTATTTATTTATTTATTTTTTTTTATTTTTTTTTGGTAATGCAGGAACCCGCAGCCAACCATATAGGTGCACTGGGTAAAAAAAAAAAAATTATTCTTTAATAATAATAATAATAATAATAATAATAATAATAATAATAATAATAAAATTACCTTAATCTTCATTTTTTTTTG